CATCCCAGTTCTTCTTTGAGACTATACTGCAACTATAAATAAAGAAACAAACTGCAAACACTAGCAATACTTTATTTCAGAAAAATAAAGGCAATAACTAACAAGACTCTACATACTCAGACACACCTTCAAAAAAAAAACACACACTTCTTCCTAGGCTACAAAATAATAAAAAAAGTAGGCAACCCAGCTTATCTCTGACAAATTCCACCATAACATTATCAAATACAAACAACAACAACAACAAACTCACTCAAACCGGTTCTGACAACATCTTAACAGGAATTACAGGCACTGACAACAGCCATATTACTATCTCTCACAATGATTAACAAATATTACCATAAGTGGCAGCAGCAAAGCAGAGCAAATGTTCCTGACAGAGCCTATACCAAACAGTTTAGACTTTACAAATACACAACAAAACAAACCTAAGACCAAAGAACAAACAAACCCTGACAACCTAAATATGAAAATTTAATCTGTTGCTACAATAACTAGCAATTCTGATGAACAAAAGCCCCCTACTTACAGCCAAATAACACAAAGAAATATTATTATACAAAACATGACATAAGACAACATGAAAATAGACTATATCCAAGAATAGGTAAACAGCATATGCAACAACTTGCAAAAAAAAATCTCACAGCCTTTTAACAAAGAACTATAGAACTATGACAAAATCATTGCCACTCTAAAAACAAAAAAAGTAATTTACGACTTTATAGAACACAAACTACTTACCAAACCCACTAACTTCCCACTTCATCCAGCTATTGAAGCCAAATTCAAACATCAAAATTCAGCATTTTTTCTTACTTTCATAAGAGATAAATGCTTGATACCTCAGCACCAGACTGGCTACGAAGACTTATTCAAGACAGTAATGAACAACTACAAGAAAGCTCACAAAATTACAATAACAACCAGAGCAATTAGCAATATCATACACATGAAACTTAAACAAAAAATCATGATTGACTATCTAACCAATACTAACTTTACAACAAATATGCCTAGAACTCTCTGTTTCTTAATCAGATACTATAAAAACTTTAATAGAGATAAAACTCCAATTGACTTTCAAGACATACAAGATGCAATACAGTTTGCCTTCTTTGCACAACTGGATCCACTTTCTGCAAACCCAAAAGAAATTCCTAGTAAAATTTTATAGATACTTCCTTTCAGCCTTCCTATAAAACAAAGATCACAAACAAAAGCAATAGTAACTGCACTACACAAAATATATAACTTCAAGCAACTACTACAAGAATACTTTATTACACTTGATTCAACTCCAAAAATATATAGGACCTAGACCCTGCAGTAAGACACCTCTTCCCAATTACCAAATAAAGCTAGCTAAATAACTTAGCATTCTATAAAAAAAGATTACAAGACTTCTACATCTGCAAAACCATACTCTTAAACTTCTTTAATCTACTACTCTTCAAACAATTACTTTCACTAGCATATCAAGTTCTTAGCAGTAAATACAAACTCTATTTCCCATTAGACCTACAAGATCTAGACACAGATATCACATATGTTATAAAACTTCTTAGAGAAGAATTTACTTTCAAAAACCTTCCAAATGACTACATTAAAGCCAAGTCATCTCTTCCAAAAGATATCAACAAAATTAAAACACCTGATGTATTTACTTTTCTAATAACAGACAACCAACAAACAAAATGATGTATAGATCAGATTACACCAATTTACAAGTTCTCTCTCTTTTTACCACCTAGCATAATGCTAGCAAACCTCACAGACAAACTCACCCTACCCGAAGATTCACAGAAAATTGAAGACTTCAATATCACAACTTTCATAACAACGATACAGCCAGAGCACTAAGAAAAACATACTACTTTTATCACATTCTAGACATCTGAATTGACATACCTGAAAACATCAAACAACCAGATATACAAAACACAGACCAAGATGAAAACAAAAACCCACCTAAAACCACATTCTAAAACTTACCAACAGAAATCAAAAACTACCTAACCATAAAAAAATAGACTTTACTCAAACACCTATTCCAATTACACAACAAACAAAGGCAAAGAACATATTAAAACTATTACAACAATATTTCACTATCAACAACATTCCAGACAATCTTCTAGCACTATCACCTCTTTCAGAACCAAACTGGGAGATCTTCTCACCTAAGATTCAACCATGACTGCACACCCTAGCAGTTCAAATACATTAACACCAACTTTCATCTTCTTAATAAATTAGCTTATCACCAATTCTATTAATATTAATGACTTAACAATATATACTCACAATATGCAAGAAATCAACAACAACCTTAAACTACAACTTTGGCTTGAATATTACTATAAACAAAACTTTCATATTATTTGTATGCAAGAAACAAAAATCACAGAATCTACTTTTACAAAACTCCAAGTAGCAAACTCATATTACAGATTATACATATCGAACTGTAATGCAGACACAAAAAAAATAAGAGAAAGCAGCCTCAGAACAGCAATTGCACTACATCCTTAACTTCAACCCTATATACATAACATCACAACATGCCCAGGCACTGCAATTATGATAGATTTGTTCTTTCCACAGTGCAATAAAACTAAAATTATATTAGTTTATTTACCAACATCCAACCAGCAACTTTCAATCAGCACCCAAAACACAGTAATAACATGGATACAACAGGCTTAAACAAGATTCTATTATATTATTATTGCTGAAAACTTTAATGACAATTTACTATCAAATACAAGCAAGAAAAAAACCTTCTTGCTTTATTATCTTACTACTCATACACTTATAAGCACTCTTAAGGAGTAGATCGCAGATTATAGGTATAGATTTCATATGACTTTACAGCAAAGATCAATTATAATGAAATCCCAATATGTTATTTTAATCTCATAAATAATATAGTGCTATATTCAAAAAAAAATAAACATTTAATCTTCAAATTCAATAAAACATGACCAATAAAAACAATGATTTAAATAAAATTTTCTTTTACCATGTAAGTTACTGACTCTACTTAATAGAGAATGTGCATTCAAGTCAAATCTTTAAGGTACTTAAAATAATTTTGATCCCCAATCATCAAAAAAACCCAATTTTTTTTATTTATTTTCAACCAAGTATGTGAGCTCACTGAAATTATTCAGTATTATAAAAAAAAAAGTAGAATTATTTTTTTTTTGTCATATTGAAAGTGATTTCCTTATGTCAAAATTTTACAGATCTATATTAGTAAGAGTAATAGAAAATAGATTTGTTGGCATCTCAAAGAAATACTTGCTAAGATTATATCTCATGTTCAGTTGAGTATTATATATGAATGCTGTCAGAGGACACTATACTTTGATTTTTAACTTTACTTATTGTACTCAACCCCAAAAATCTAATTAGCTGCATATAATTAACATGATTAATGGACATTATTTATATGACATATTATGGTATTAACATTAAGAGTTCTATTGATTGCATATTAATGACTAGAGAATATATCATTAAAACGAATAAAATATTAGTTGTACACATCTCTTTACATATAGCACTAAGTATTAATAAGTAATGATTATTTGGATTATCCTCCTATCTCCCAATATCTGGGAGGTATGATTCAATCTAGGTTGGCTTTTTTGAAAAGTACTCAGAGTTAACTGTATGCAGCGCTATACAGTAATTCCATTTCATAAGTCACTGATCAGGTTGTCTGAGATTGAGTCCAGTTATTTATAAAAAAGATCATTACCTGATTTTTTTTGGTAGTCTTATATATAATCAAAAATTCATAGTCTTGAATAAAATACTTATCATAACTAATTTCAAATATAAGTAACCTCTTTTTGAATGTCAATATCTAATAATTTTCAGAATTATATAGTGGTTTTAGAAAATTAGTATATCTTTTAATACTGGTACTAAAAATTTCTGTTCCACAACACATGCTAGAACCAAAAGATTTTCGATCAAGCTAAGTTATATACAAATATCACTTTATTTTTTTGTTAATTACATATGTGGTCTTCTGTTAACTATATTTTATACTTTAAACACTTCAACTGATCAGGCAATCCATAAATATACCTTGAGAATATAGACTAGTATTCGATAGCATATATTTGAAAGATAAATTTATCAAGTTTTGTGAAATTCACTGTTTCAAAAATGTTGAAAGGATTAACTAGTATTTGTGGAATGTGTAAAGTTTTTTTTTCTTTTTTTTAATTTTTGAGCATAGTTTGAAATAGTCAATATAATTTTGTGTAAGAACATCTTAGTTGTATTTTATAATACTGTATATTATAGAATTAAATAAAAACTTATTTTATGTATTATTATAATTTTAAAATAATCTTCAGAACATTGATTTTAAATATTACAAATCTTAGAATGTAGTTATTAACGATTATGTTGAGTTTATATTGCTAAGTGTAGCCCATTGGGTCAAATACTTTGTAACATTTTATGTGCCCATAAACAAAACGACTTTTTTTTTTATTTTAATAGAATAGAAAATAAAATTAGTAAGATGGATTAAAATAATGCTTTTGTGAAATTGCCATGTTAAATCAGTTTCTAAATATATTGCATTAAATTCATGCAAATGAATGATTTGAAAGATAACTACATTAAAATTAGGTCTTGAAATGATTTTTTTTTATTTTCTAATCCAAATTCATTAATTGGAATGTTTGATCTATTTATTTATAAATTCATATATTATTTATATGCACTATTCTAGTATACTAGTAGTAATGAACAAATGCCACTTTTGTTCATATTTTAAACTCAATTCCATTTAGTTAACAATAACCAACTTGAAACATTTCAATAGAATCTTCTATTTCAGTAGTTTTTTGATAATAAATGAAAGCTTTACATTCATCATTCTCAACCTACTTGATCTGTTTCAACAGAAAATAAGACTTAGATATGATATTTGATATTTAAATAATAAAATGCAAATGTAAATACATTCAAAGTTCACCATTTGAGAAAGAGCCATCAGCATTGAATAACTCAAGTACAATTAATGTTCCTTCGTGATAAAATTCTCTAAAATATTTACCAATCCAGTTATGAATTGCAGATACTTAAGAGATGTCATTATTATCAATTTCTTCAGATTGTACAAACTCTTTAAGTTCTATATACATTTCTTGAGCTGTTATCTTGTCTTTAGAATTCATATTCCCATTTAAAAAAAAATGCTTTAGCAAATTAACAACTTTTGTTTTGATTTTTTTTCCTATATTTTTTTCCAAATTTTGAATTTCCTAGAAATGCCCATCCTAGAGGCATTTTAAATTTATCCTCGATGTTTCTAGACAAGAGTCATGTTAGTTAAATGTGAAATAATCTTGATAAATAAGCAAAGGTTCTACAAACCTATCCTTAAAATTACCCATCTCTGCTGATTTCTGATAATAAACAAATGCATTTTGTTCATTTTTTTCAATTTCAATTCTATTGGCATTTTTCATTTCAGCAGATTTCTGAGAATGAATAAATGCCTTTTGTTTATCCATTTTAATACCAATTCCATTAGCATTTTCCATCTCAGCAGACTTTTGAAAATGAATGAATGCCTTCTATTTATCTTTTCTAACTCTATTTTCTGAAAAGTCATATGCTAACAAGTAAATTTTTTTTTGCCCTCAATAAAAAATTCAAGTTTTTGTTAGAATAGCTGATTATTACTATCAATGTTCATACCAGGACTTCCTTAATGATTATCCTTATTACTAAGATCAGTAGTGCCTGTTTTACCAAAATCACTCAGTAGCTTTTTAATAGTAACATTGGAAGAACTGATTCTTACCTTCAACATTCGTCCTAGAGCCTTCTTAAGAATTGCCTTTATTATTAAAATTGGTAACTCCTGCTTTATAAGTAATGCCATTCAATAGCATCTTGTAATTGGTTTGTAAAATTACAACAATAAACTTACCTTCTATCTCTGTTACTTTATCATCAGCAAAGGTTAAAATTTATTACAGTAATCAAGTTCTACCATTTTTTAACAGTCTGTTTACATGTTTACATATCTTGAATTATGGAAATTGGTATGACCCAATCAGATGTTGGTGTCATATATGCCGAAACTATCAGTTTTAGGTGAATAATAGGTGCATTAGATAATTTGATGATTTCAGCTGAAGAGAAATTTTCCTATGAGCCCACATGTAATAATCCTCTAGCATGAATCAATTCAGCCAAAGGTCCTTCCATTGGCCATTCCCAACAGTAAAATTTGGATATTTCAGGTATTGTTTTAATTTTTGGTTTTTTGTTACTTGAATTCTTAACTTTTTTTTTTTTTCTTGGCCTCATGTCTTCAATCTCAGATTCACTATTTTTATCATCATGATCTATTGTAATTTGTGCCAATGATGTTCCAGTTAGCCCTTGTGCTGCCTTTACTATATCTTTGCCTTTGGCTACATCAAATCCAATTCAAACATATTACTTAATACTATGGCCAATCTTATGTGATATTAAAGCACCATAATTAGGGTTGTTAATGGCATGCTCCAGTCAATAATCAAACATATAACCCACTTCTGAAGTACTGTGAAGTGGGTTATATGTTTGATTACACCATTAACAACTCTAATTATGATGTTAATACATGATTAGTATTTAAAAAAATAAACCCATTAAAAAAAAAAAAAAAGATTAATCTCACATTTGCATGATAAGAATCAATAGTTGTTTAAGCTTCTCCTGACTCCAAAAACAGCCATCAATTAACCTTAATGAAATACCAAGCATGCCAATAAGCGATAATAGCCATTAACTCCAAATTATAGTAATGTGCACCATGGTCTGAAATTATTATTATCTACTTTGGTTTTTGTTTCATCGAATCAAATACTGCTTTAAATGAAGAAGCAGTGAACCAAGCATCTTGCTTAGTGTCAGTAGACCAATGATCAAACACCTAAACATTTAGCATATCTTGATTTTCTATTTTTTTAAAAAGCAAAATTGTATGCAAAGTCTAGCCTCTTTTACTAAAAAAATCTTTCTTGGTTGTATGAGCAGACTTTAGAAGAATTTTCATCTTATAGTTAGCTACCATTAGAGTGTCATCAGAATCCAACTGAGCTAAAGTTGCTTTGAATTGTGTATTAAGATAAACTTTTCATGCTTGATAACCTAAGTAATGTTTTAATTGCTCTTTTATTTCATATAATTGCATTATACATTCATCAGTTACATATTTTTCTAATTTATCAAAAAGTTTATAGAATTGGTTATACAGAGAACATCTCGAAACATGTAATCTTGAACATTATCTAAAAGCATATGGAAGGCAATGGTCGATACAAGAATCATGTAAAATTGTTCCATCTTGTGATATTATTAACTCCTGCTCAAACTCTATCTTAAAATGGCATTGCAATTTCTCAATTCACAAAAGTATTTCATTCTAATAAAAATAAAAATAAGAACTCATTCTAATTATAAACATTTCTAATTAAAAAAAAAAGGTTTTAACTAGAAAAAAAAATCTATTGCAGCTAAAAAAAATATTCTAACTATATTTAAATGAAAATCTTTTTTTTAAAGAAAGAAAAAGTTCAAATAAAAAAAAAAAACACTTAAAAAAAAAAACACTTTAAAAAAAAAACTTTTTTTAAAAAAAAAACACTTATTTATTTTTTTTTAAAAAAATATCCATCTGTTTTTTTTTTTAAAAAAACCCTTCACTTATTAAAGGTTCTGAAAGTAAATACAAAGGCCAAGTAATGAAAGACTTGTTAGGAATGCTATAAATTTGATTTTAAAAATTAATTAGGTTAACAAAAAATCTAATGAAAAAAAAGTTTTCAAATTAAAAAAAAAGTTGTCATTCTATCCAAAAAATTATTGTGTTCAAATAAAATAAAAATCATATTAATTCCATTTTATCAACAAATATATTTTGTACAATTCTAACTAAACTTTCAAATGATCCAAAGCCATATTCATTACAAATTCCACAAAGACTATCTAAATCATCCTGATATTGCAGTTGTGTGGCATTTGCAAGCCATCCCATAAAAGAAGTTTTTTTCATTCTGTTTGGAAATGTTTGTTGAAATTTTTTCCAAAGAGTAATCTTGTTATTATGCAAGTAAAGAACAGATAGGTTTGTTTTTTTGTCTATTTTGTAAGAACTCATTGTCATATTACTTTTATCTAAAAAAAATGATTCAAACTGTTTTTCTTTAAGGGTAGGGGGCACGTAGATCATTTTTATATAGTTATGTATGGTATATTAAAATTTTCATCTAAAATTGATATATGTTACTAATAAAACTTT